AGCTCTCTCTCTCTCTCTCTCTCTCTCTCTCTCTCTCTCTCTCTCTCTCTCTCTCTCTCTCTTAAAACAAACAAAACAAAGTAAAGCTATCGTGTACAGTACTTCACAACAATGATGGAGTCAGCTGTTGTTACATAATGATCTGGAAGAAAAAAAATCAGACAGCTGTAATGATGCTCTTAGAGAAAAACAAACAATAATTAAATGGCAGGACCCGAGGCCCTTCTTCTCTTCTTCTTCCCTTTCAGATATTCCAGCATGCAGCCAAGTAGCAACAAGTGCCATATTTCACATACAATAACTTAAAATAAGATTAAATCTGTGCTCCCTGGAGTTGGAAATTTAAAAAAAAAAGAAAAAGAAGGGTCAGCTTGGAGTCCAAACACCTGCATGACGTGGTAAACACAAAGCTGTTTCTTCTGTGAGCGTGAGGATCTTAGACATTCAAGAAGAAAGCTTCAGTACCAACAAACTCACCGAAATGAGATGCTCTAGATTCAAACATGTGCGCGTGTGGACGCAGAGAGAGGGGGGCCCGTTTGGTTTAAGTGAGGGAAGATTAGTGCGCAGGCCTGTTTTATTTCCTTTTCAAAACAAAATAAAGGRAAAAAAATAATTTGGCACAACTAGTTTGTAAATCACGAGTCTTACTTTAAGAGCCTGGCTTTTCCTTTGCTGCTAAATCTGTTCTTTCTTCTTTTTTTTTTTTCTTTAAATGAAGCTTTTCTTGTTTACCTGACAGCAGAGACAGATCACCGGGCCCCAGAGGAATACTTGGCCTTGGTGATGAGGTATAGCACAATGTCCTGGTGGCCCCCGAAGGCTGCGATGTGTAAAGCGCTCCACCCTTCCCGGTTGGCCAGCCGGATGTCTGCGCCGAACTTCACCAGCAGCTTGACCAGCTCCAGGTTGCCGTCGATGACGGACTGGTGCAGGGCCGTCTGTCCTTCTGGTCCGAACGAGTTGACGTTAAACTCGCAGTTTGTCATGTTCTGCAGCAGCGAGTGCAGCTCCTTGGTGTTGCCCTTCTTCACCGCCTCCTGGAAAACCCTCTGCGGCGCGGAGCACGTCGACACRTCCGCCTGGCTCATGGCTGCAGGAGAAATAATCCCGCCTGGAGCTCTAAAAGCTGAGAAGAAAGGTCTTGCTGTCCCACCCACAACGTTGAGCGTCTCAGGTCGGGTTTTGTTAGATTTCAACCACTTGTATAAGGCACTTTAAGAGTTAGATATATCCCAAAAAAAGGACAAAAGAGATGACACACCTGGTGTGCAAAATGTTAATATTTGAGACCTTAAATCCCCTAAGACATTATAAAGGTGCTCTCAAGCGATCCAAGAGGTCTCTGGGTGTAGTTTTCCTCCTGTGGCAGCAGCAGGTTGGTTTTAAGCAGGCGGGGATGGAGACGGGACACCTCAGGTTCGACTCTGGACGTATCTCCACAGAGCAGCCTCCAAGTTGTCCGTCTTCCTCCAGCGGTCCARCCTGCTTCCCGGCTAAAAGTCTCCACTCATGTGGGGCCAGGTGGTCTGAGAAGGACAAAAAATAAAAGAAAATAAAAAAAGAAACTCCGCATTAATCCCGATTCCTCACCAACAGTCCGCCCTYGCATTCCGCCACATCCAAGAACCCGTGCGCATTTTACGCACGGATCCACTCTGGCGTAAAAAACTGCTTTCTGACTTACCTGCGGCAGACAGATGGACGTGATGCGACTTGAATGATATGGGAGAAGAAAGGATTTAAAAAAGAAAAAAAAGAAAAGAAAAAAAAAAGGAAGATCCTCCACCACTACCGTGTGGCCCCGGGACGTGTCCTCCTCCTGCGCGGTCCGTGTGAGTCTCTGCGCTGCGCCGCGCTCCGGGGGAAGATTTTACGCGTCCTTCATTTGCATGACAATACGGTGCCGGAGAATCAACTGTGGAGGAATGGGCGGAGGGTTAGGCTGTAGGAGAGGGAGGGATCAGGACCCCCGTGTTTCTGCGGGGGAGAGACGAGGGGGCCGTTCCGAGAGAAGAAGAAATATTAAACAAACCAGCAGCAACAGTGTGGTTCGGACTGAAACGTCAGCGGTGCGATACATTTTTATTTTAAATTAAAACTTCATCAGTTTTTCCTGAGAAGTCTGGCACATRAAACATTTAAACTACAATTATGCTGAGAAATGAGAGATAAAGCTGCTTTGGTTAAAACCTCGACGTGTCARCCTCAAAGAATATGTGAACGTTTATTTCAGTAAAATTACCTGAGCTAGAGACACATTTGCGTTATTAGCTGTGGCGGCCATCTTTAATTGTGGCAACATGAAGTTGATTAGGTTTACATTTAGCGCATCAAACAAAACGCCTGTTGGTTTATGAGATCATTTGCAGACACAATAAACTCCAAAATGATTGCACAGAGTGTAGTGCTCTGAGCATGTGGTAGGGGTCAGTCTCAGCTACCACTACATTAKGTCAATATCTGTATATTTGACTAAACTGAACAAAAATCAATTAGCTGTGGCGGCCATCTTTAATTGTGTTGACTCCAAAAGTTAATCAGGGGTAGATTGTTCACCCAGTGATGCTGATTATTAATTAAAATCTATCATGAGACACTTTGCAAACAGACATTGTAATCTTTATTTTTAAATAAACTGCACTTAAAGGTCTTACATGAGCTGAATCATGTGTGAAAGTTTCTGTTTATTCTCAAAGCAGCGGGGAGGGAAAAAAGTGAACCAAAAGTTGTGAAAAATGACCGAACTGGCTGAGAGTGTTGCTGTAAAGCCTCCTCTGAGGTTACAGGAGGCTGATTCTATCATAAACGGCGGATATAGTCCAGTTGTTTTTAAAAAGACCAGACTGTGGGACTTCAAATAACAAAAGACCTGCGCTGCTTCCTCTGTGCGGCTGAAAAGAGGTGACGCTGCGCGCAGATTGACACGCCGCTCCGCTGCCCCCGCCACCGTGGGAACTGGGCGACTGCGTGTGTGAGAGAGAGAGAGAGAGAGAGAGAGAGAGAGAGAGAGAGA